TAGCTTTAATTAAAGTTTTCTTTTATTTGTATTAATTTTTGATTTTTGTATAAATTTTTAATTTTTTATAGAAATTAAAACAGTTATTTTGTACAATTGTTTTCGGTTAAAATATTTGTTTAATTTTTATTTTCAGTTGGCGCAATTTGTTGATATCATTATTTTTGTAGGATATATTTGTACAATTTTTTTTTGGTTAAAATATTTTTATAAGTTTTTATTTCCAATAATTTAAAATAACACTATTTCATAAATATATATAAATACAGTTTTTCACAAGTGGCGCGTGTACTTGGCGCTTTTTTTTACCTTTTTTTAAAAAAGTATTTCATTAACAGGGTACAGTAAATACATATACGGCTATGCAATGAAACGAAACAATCCCGCTGTGGGAAGATCTTGCTTGTATTTCGTCGACAAAGAGAAAGAGTTGTTTGCACAATGACGAAACATTTTTCTCTAGGATCAGATAAGACTGCGTGCACACGGAAAGAAACGTGTCGCGTATCGTATTGTCACTTGTCGCGTGTCTCTTTGAACTCTGGCCCGCTATTATGGACACAATGGCTTGTAAACAATAAGAAAATCGTGCACGAACGAGACGTTCGAGAAGCTCTCGCATATTTCAATCCAATATCTTTCTCTTTTCGTCCCATACGATATTATGATATATTCGACTGTGTTGTAAATTACCGGGTAAATCTTCGGAAAACCCACCTATATGAAATAATGGGTAAGAATACCCAATTCCTACGTATTTTTGCCTCCTGAACACGAATATGAAACTTAAAAATAGCGCTCGGGACAAGAAACATTGAAAATCGCAAAGAACGCAGAACGCTCTGCGCATTACATGTACACGGTTCACGCTTGTGTGCGTATCCCCTCTACACGCTGTGGCATGCTGCAGAGTCCCGAATCTGGCATCACCGATCTAGTTTCCACCGAAGTCGTCAATCCAATTTTGTTTCGGTGCGCATCGAATTTAACGTACTGTTTCCACTGGAAGTAGAATAGAAGCAAGGAAATTGATATTTCAGTAGAGCCAACTTAACTTTTGATTGTGTCGTCTCAGCTACCGACGGAGATGATTGTTTGCATCAATTTAGTTTGCAACGTCCTCATCTCTCTTCTTATTTTCATAGACAATCTTGAACTTGGCATAGACTATAATTGAATCTTTCAGAAAGGTCGAAACAAAGTATTTTTATGTGCAAAATTTCACAAAATATTCATTATTAAATTGCACTATTCACAAAAGTAATTATATTTTAATTGAAATATTGAGATTGAATAATTAATTGTATATTAATTAAATTAAAATAAGTTTTTGAAATAATTACATTATTATTTCTTACTTTAAATAATTAAATATATTTTTTATAATACAAATGTTTAAAGAAAATTATCATTTATGTTTTAATTAATTGTTAATTAGATTTAATATTTGCATATATGTATATAGTAAACAGGTAAAATATATAATAATTCAAATATAAAATATATTTAATTCTCGATTCCGAAATCTCTCTTACGTATCTTTAAAAGCGTACAATTTTAGGAATCTTTGATGTGCGTTGAATAATTGATTAGCGCCCGCCGCTTGTGCATTACGAGGATGTAACATGATACAGCTGAACATATAACAATCATTAGTAACGCCGCAAAGAATTAGCGAGATATATTAATAACAATTTCCTGTTTTCCCGTCAACTCTCTGGCTGCCAATCATTTTTTCTCAAAGCGTAATATTAACCACGGTACTTGAAGATAATAACAAGGCTCCGCGCGTATCGTATATAAATAGAAAGAAACTAAAAAAAGAGCGGGAATAGAATAAAAGATAAAAAGTCACGTGCACCATCTCTTGGAAGCAGACATATAGACTGAACCGACCGGATTGCAGCGGAAAAGAGAGACGCATCTCCTGGACGCACAAAATCAGAAAAGCGGATTTCTTGAAAGCATCTCTTCACGTGAATTATTCAGGGATCGTCCTTCCGCAGCTTGTAACT